CATACATGAAACGCCACCCATGTATATGCACCCATTAACTACAATGGACATTATGAACAATCTTGAGAGCTTTTACTTGTTCACGTTGTATATAGTAAACATGAAATTTTGTTTCATGTTTGTACATATGTTAAATAGAATACCATGGTAAATATATATAAAAAGTTGTTCATTATTATTGTTTTGCAGCATCAGTTGCTTAATTTGTACACATTTATAATATTTATGTCAAAAGTTATGTACATATCATTTATATATATAATTTTATTTATAATAAAGAAATCACATAAAGACAATAAATTGGATTATTTTATTGTTGCAATCAGTCTTTTATTCAAGTGAACTACAACCAACTCAAATGAGACTGTGAATGAGGCCATAAATTGTTTTCTTTAACTCGAACAGATATAAAAAGAATTGTACTCTAAGGACAATCTGCATTTCTTTCTCTTGGGTAAATAGATGTCTTTTCTTTCCTGCTTGCTCAAAAAGTTTAAAAGGCGTCTTGTATTTCTCTATTCACAATCAGATTTTCTCTCACCATCAGCACCTATTGATGACACAGCACTGCTTCCTTATGTAGACAGACAAGAAATGGGCATCAAGGCTTCATTTTGGCAGTAAATATTTTAAAATCACCTTAAATTAATATTTAAAAAATAAAGGCCTGAGCAGTCATTTTGCCAATCAAGCAAATTCTTATCTTTATCCTTTATAGTTTTTTGTTGGCTTATGTTAAGAATATCTGCTGTGTGGTAACCTTTTAAACAAGTTGATAAATATCAGAATAATCTTGCTACTGAGCTAAACTATTTAAGGCATCTAAAGGATGATGAAGCCAGCTATGTTCTCTATTTTAGAAAAGTTCTAATTGCAGCTTCTTCTGACTGGACAAATACATGGAAAACTTGTGCTTGGATCTTGATGTAATTTGAAATTGTCAGTAGACATTCCAAAGGGCTTTAGTACCATGTTCCCCAGTTCTTTTAACTTTCCTAGAATGAGAAAATATAAATACTTCCACTATTGCTCTGAATGAAAAGATGAATACAAAACTCAAATGTTTCAAGAATCAAATTTTTAATAAATATGTTGATTTTTATTGAAATCAAAGAGCAGAAGACCAGTCTAAAAGATTTTGCTTTATTGTAAAATATTTCAAAATGTAGGACTGAAAGATATAAATTACCCATCATTTCATCTTTCATTTTCTCATTTCTTTCTGTAATTTGCTGTGGCAATCGCTGAAGAGATGAAAATAAACACAGATTCAATCAGATTCAAAAGTTCACTGATTAGTTCTCTTATGAATAAAAACAATTTGCTGACTTGTAATTATTTTAATATCTTTAAATTTAAGTGAATATTGCACTGTTACACTTTAGCACTTTAGCATTTTTTTTCTATTGCGATGCTTTTAAACATATATGAACATCATTTTTTTTTTATTTCACTTACTACACATTGACACATTACAGAAAACCATGTAACACAAATCTAAAGTATTTGAGACTGTTTTTATGATACCAGACTTACAATACATGCTTCCCTTGCAGTATGTTGTGTTGGATCCATTTCAATTACTTTTTTGTAATCCTCTAATGCCTCATCTAATTTTTCAGTCTTTTCATACATTTCTGCCCTCCTTAAAAGTGCTTTGAGATAATTAGGATTAAGTTCTAGTGCTTTGGTACAGTCTTCAATAGCCTTTTCGTGCTGTTTCTGAAAAGAGTTTTTTTCAAATGCCTCAAAGAAAACACCCTTAATATATACCTTGTATCAATGCATGCCAAATTGAACACAACCTTTAAACAAAGAAAAATTATCACAGTCATAAAATGTTGTTTAAATTATATATTTTAAATAGTGAACCAATCTAGGGAAATCATTCTATCAACTGAAATTGCTACACTTCAATAATAATAATAACTCAAAAACTTACTGCACAGAATATGGTCCTGTATTTGGATCTTGATGTGATTTGAAATTGTCAGTAGACATTCCATTTGAAGGGCTTTAGTACCATGTTCCCCTGTTCTTTTAACTTTCCTAGAATGAGAAAATATAAATACTTAGAATTGCTGTGAATGATAAGATTAATACAAAACTCAAATGTTTCAAGAATCAAAATTTTCAAATATTTCTTTTTTCCCACCAGGGTTTGTAGAAATTGATCTTGATGATGATGACGATGAAAAATTAGGTACATCTACTGAGGGAGAATTAAGGTGTTCAAATTTTATAAAACAATTAAATTATTTTCAATTGGGTGATGGCAGATTTGAATGTAAAGTAAGTTGTAACAAGTGAGTTAGATGGTTTTATAATCATCCCAAGTGCATTATAATCAAGATCTATAAATATGTCTTAATAAAATTCTTTACAGAGAAAATATGTGCCCCATTTTACATATAAACTTTTTCCTTGATATATATAGTCGAGTAGCCAGAACGCTAACCCTGCAATGTTTTTTCCTGTAAACTTTTTTCGCTGAAATGCATTCTTTAGGTCGAGAGAAGCAAAATTAGCTTGGTTGCTATTTCCGAGACCTTGAGCATTTTTCAATATGGCCGTCAATTTATGAGAAAAAATAGAAAAACGAGCAGTAGTCGCCGGGTAAACTTTATTGACAGCTTTTTTGAACTTGTATCCTATCAGGAGAGCAAAACAGTACTAGTGAATACACTTAAGCCCGTTACATATAGCAAAAAAGCCAAAATGGCCGTCAAAACATAAGGCAGAAAGTAAAAACTGCTGCAAAATAAGTTCGTTTTTTTGCAAATTAAGTCTTATTAAAAACATTTCTGCCTTTTCTATTTATGTCCATTATGATAATTTGTTAGTCATGATCCTAAACTCTCAGAAACTGCTTATTTGACATTAATCAGATGGTGGCAGACGGTGCCATCTCCTGAGAGTCCATTTGCCACTCCGACGAGCCCCATAGTCAAAGCTTGCTATGTTATATCTTGCAAGCTTTTTTAAAAGAAATTGTTTCATCTGGGTTACAAAACTTAGAGAAGCTTATAAGCTTGACTTTATTTGCCAGTTGATACGTAGGAGATATTGACAATTTTTCAAAATTCAAGATGGCCGTCAATTTGTTATGTGAATAGCGAGAGCCATACATTCAAATAAAAAAAAAATAATGCTTCACTCCATTGTTGATCATTGCATAATTATATTTATGTCCATGCAAAGTGCGATCATTTATTTCATTTTTGCAAGTTATTTTAATAAAAATGGCCTCCAAAACATAATGGAAGGGCAAAGAAACAACTGTAAAACTACAAGGCTTTTAACTGAAATAGACTTTAACTGGAACAAATATAAATACATATATAAAGTGAAAAACGATATACCTGCGTTCAAGACACAGCACACAATAAAACATATTTTTAGGTTAAATGATACAAACAAGGAAAACCAATATGTCCGTCAATGCTGCTCTATGATCAATCCAAACATTGATTGCGGATATCTCAGTCCTGACAACTAGTTTTCCATTCTAAATCAAAAATTAATAAAAAGGTATTATCATTCTAGTATGCGTAAACTAAATAATTTTGAAATAAAAAAGGCGTCAAATCGTTTTCTTCAGGTTGGACTATTCTTATCCTTTTCTTGTAAACTTTTTAAATATTTTAACAGCTATGGGTAAAGGCATTTTTGTTGTTTAACAATGAATTTTATTATAAATAACCGAGATCCAAGCAGGGGTATACAAACCCAGAGGTTAGGGCCCATGAAGTCAGCTATTCTGGACAACGTGACATAGTACGGGGATATGCGAGGGTTATCCATCGACATCATGTATTCGAAATGTTATTTTTGCCAATATATACTTACAGATAATGGAAGCTTTGAGATAGTAATGTATGCATTTTTCTACTTGTAGGGTAAATGTAATTATCCATTGTGCATTTATTGATGACTTAGTGCTCGGGTAGTTAAGATAATGATGAGTTGTCATGTTGCCATGGTTCATTGCTCATGGGTAAGCTTTTTTTTTTTTTTTTGCAAAAATGAACCAAATACACATTGAGCAATACTCATTGGGCAACTGCACATTTTGAGGATTGGTTTTGGAGGCCTGTAAAGGCCCAAAAAAGGTCACCGAGGTTGTTAGTCCAGTGAACGGAATCATGTCATGTCTATCATGTGAACAACGTACATCTCTGGGCACTGGGTGTGAGGGGAGTCTGATTTGAGCTATAATGTATGGGCTGTTCCCACCCCACAATCAGGAACCTGGTTGAATGCCACAACATGCCAGGCTCTGTTAGCGATATACCGCAGCCAGGGCGAGAGAGTGTCAACTTCAGACCAGGATCGCTACACCAGGTTGCATCAGCTACGGGAGCAGTTTCGCCATGCCAGTCGTACAGCACAAGAAGCACCCGGCAGGAACAACAACCGGAGCAGCAACCCCACTGTGCGTCGACGCTTGCTGGCGGTCAACCGATGGTGGTCGTTGATGGCAACATACCAGTAACTGCTCGTCAGTACATAGATCAGATCCTGCAACCTCACATAACCTCGTTAATGCAGCAGAAAACTGATATCACCTTTTCCCAACAGGACATGACCCGTTCACATTCGGGGTAGGACATCCCAAGGGTGTCGTAATGGTCAGTCCTANGTGCAGCAGCCCCACTGTGCGTCGACACTTGCTGGCGGTCAGCCGATGGTGGTCGTTGATGGCAACATACCAGTAACTGCTCGTCACTACATAGATCACATCCTGCAACCTCACATCACCTCGTTCATGCAGCAGAAAACTGATATCACCTTTTCCCAACAGGACATGGCCCGTTCACATTCGGCACAAATGATCCAAGTGTATCTGGAGTTCCAAAGGTGGATGTCCTACCCCAGCCTGTCTATTTTCCGGATATGAATCCGATTGAACACATCTGGTACTACATATATCTTGGCCGTCCGTTGGCCAAGGCAGCAGCTGATCGAGGCACTACGACAAGGCTGGAATAGGTTTCCACACGACACCATCCCATCCACATTTATTGCCCGAGCATGCGCCAACAGATCGCCGCCTGCATCGAAGCAAGCGGAGATCGTACCGGCTATCATTGTGGCTTTGTGTTGGGCTGGTGCCATTTTTGTTTTGAAACTATTCATGAAACTTAAGATTTTTGGCTCTGTATACCAATGTCCTAAACAAATGATTCGTATGAAAATAATACAGTTTAGAGCTTCAAAATAACAATAATTTTGAAAAATATGGCCTCAAAGATTTTAATGGCTGTCAGTATACATGTATGACCAAAAGGTTTGTTAGATGTTTTGCTTGTATTGACTCTTTAAAATGTAAAGTGAAAAAGTGCAGTAATAAGAAAAACTAGAAATGCTGTTATATACTGATGAAATATTCGTCCACTTGCCAATTTAAAAAAAAAGAATGGGAAGTTTTAAAGCTAAATTTTATGTACATACTGAAAAAAGTTATGATAAAGATATAAAATTAAAACATTAAGGTATGATCAATATAAAAACAAAAATGAAAAAAAAAATAATAAGGTTAATATTTTGACAAAAGTTGAATTAAATTACACTCACCCCTCTCCCACCCCCGTCCCCACCAACGGACTTGGTTGTACTCCATGTAGATATAAGAGTCCCGATTGCAGATTAACACTTTGTACTCCCTGTGCCCAAATTTCTGCAGAACCCCCTGTTGACCCTTGATAAACTTCCTGTATTAAAAATAGAACTTACGTGATGGTCAGTCCTATCAATGATTTTAGTATAACTGTACCTTATAAGTACACTTTGTCAATAAATAACAGGGTTGGATATATTTTATTATACGCAAAATTATCAGTTTAAAACGTAATTTAACTGCTTTTTTACCTTTTTTGGGCATGTTTTAGCGGTCATTTGAAATGCAGAATATCATGCACTTTAAACCCAACTCTTTGCTATGTTACATAATTATTCAATATAATGATATTATAATATATTTTTATATTATTGACGGTCATCTTGAATTTTGAAAATTGATCAATGTTCCATATCTAGCCACTGCCAAGAAAGCCCAAATTAAATTGGCTTTTATTCTCCCAAAGTGTTAAATTCTTTTTAAAAATTCAGGGAATAACATTTTACGTATTTGATTATGGGACCCGGAGAAGTAGCAAATAGACTCTTGGGGGGTTATTGAACTGTCAGATAAGCTTATTCCAAGAGTTTTGGGTCATGACTAACAAAATATTATAATTAACATAAAAAATAAAAAGGGGATATGGTTTTAATAGAAATAAATATGCAAAAAACATACTGATTCGGCAGCTTTTATCATTTTCTGCCTTATGTTTTGACGGCCATTTTGGTTTTTTGCTATATGTAACGGGCTTAAGCGTATTCACTAGTACTGTTGTGCTCTCCTTATAGGATACACGTTCAAAAAAGCTGTCAATAAAGTTTACCCGGCGACTTCTGCTCGTTTTTCTATTTTTCCTCATAAATTGACGGCCATATTGAAAAATGCTCAAGGTCTCGGAAATAGCAACCAAGCTAATTTTGCTTCTCTCGGCCTGAAGAATGCATTTCAGCAAAAAAAGTTTACAGGAAAGAACATTGCAGGGTTCGACTATTGGGCCTATTGGAGTGGCGACTCGACTATTTCAATTGGTAGGGCTTTAGCAATACACATTTGATCTATGGCTATCCAAAACGTATTAAAAATAATAAAGGCTCAGGAGACGTATTCTGTAATATTAGTTTTGGATAGCAATTTGATAATATGATGACAGAAAGAGTATTGCGTATCAAACACAATTTATCAGACAACTTGCCCCCACTTGCTGAATCAATGTTAGAGAGGTTATAAACAAATTAAATTTCAGTTAGTCTTTATATTTTCCTATGCGTAATATTGGTATCCATTACCATTTCAATTGGAAGGGCTATATCAGTGCACAGTTTGTATAGGTAAATTGATCAATGATGTCCAAATATACTAAAAATACATAAAAATCTTAGGAGACGTAGTCTGTATGTTAATCCCCGATATAAATTCAACACTCTTCATCTCACTCAGCAACTTAAATACACACATGAGTTCAGATATGGATATCTAGAGCAACATTTTGTGGTTCAGGAGGAACTAAAATGTGCATGGTGAATTATTGCTTTATATTCTTTAGAGGATAGTGGTCGTAAGTCCTATCTTCATTTCTACACAATATTAGAGCAAAATATTTCTTCCAAAATTTTCGGTCATATTCTTACCACCCTCAGTTTTATGTTGTTATAAAGTATAAAGCTTCAATGCTGGGTACAACATGAAACATTTTAATGTATGTTCTATATCACTTGGAGATAGATCGATCCAGAGTACGTTAGGGTCTGAGAATGATACTTAAGATTAAGAATCGTGCGTTCCCATCAGGGAACTTAGAAATCGGTTTGGTTGTGTAGTTACAACTAGTGGCGAATCAGACATGGGGAAAGAGGACACAATGTGTTGATTATAAACAGACCGTTTACAAATGTTGGCAAGATAACAAAGATCGAGAGTAGGATAACGATTTTTGATTTAAGTATCAGAACAAGAGGAACTAACGTGAATAAAAAAGCCAACACCTTGGCCATCAGATACAAATATTACTCAGGGCTGCATTTTTTTTTTTTTAGCATAAAAGCATACATCTATGACTGTGCTTATAGCTTATGGGATGTTCTCCATCCTTGTTCTTGCATGGATGACTAGTGGCATCGTCTATTCCACGGATTTCAGTAAGTCAAGGGCTAAGAGAGAATATACATTTTTTTTTACTTTGAGGACTGAGAATGAAATTGGAAAGATATAGAACAAGGGACCGGTGTGCAGACATATTTTAATTAAAATTCGCCAACTCCAGTAGACTTTAAAATTGAATATGATTTTATGACAAAATATAACATTATAAAAATGCCAAAAAAAAGTTTCATTATCAATCCTTTTGCAGTCGTGTGCAATCCTAACCCTTGCGATATGGTGGGGCATGTATATCTGAAAAAACCCTGTATCCTTGTTCAATTACTGGTGTGAATGTCCCACTAACGCTTTGGGATACAGGTGCACCACAGGTAAGTCGCCCCAATTTAAGTCTGCATATCTGGCAACTGCTTTAAGACTGTCTTTATACATGTATCAGTTAATAGTTTTACTTTATTTTGCAGCAAAAATATCTGAGCACAACATTATTAATGCAAAAACTGATTCCCTACTACCCCTCTTCTAAAAAGCAAACCGGTAAGCAGTATTTCAATTTTGATCGATAATACCGCGAATATTAGACGTTATTGCAATATTTACCCAATTCCATCTTGTTTGCAAGTTCGTTCGGCAAAGCTGTCACTGTCACTAGAGTTTGGATAAACTATACAGAAAAAATGAAACCACAGAGGAAAAGCTAAGATGCTGTAGAGAGTAGCCACGTAACAAACTATGATTTCGTGCATGACATGTGGGTTTTCTTATTTGCCTTGTTTGAGCTTATTCACAGCAAACTTAGAAAACAAACATTTTACCTGCTTCTTCGATGACTTCACCAAATGAAAAAAGTGACAGCTATAGTCGCTGTTGATTTGACGGCCTAAACGTTGCGCAATATCTAACATGTCCCCGAAATAGACGGAGTCTCGTGGAATCCTGCAAAATTCAAATTTCACTTCTGTGCCCCATTGCCAAACAAGAACCAAATCTTTTTTAATACCTGAAAGGATTGAACTTGATGTAATAAATTGAATGATTTTCGAGAAAGCTCGCATAACCGGCAGATAGAAACTATTCGCTTTAATTAAATCACACACCCCTGACCCGACGTCAGATTATTCACGTTGTGAGGTACATTTGCTGTGCTACGCTGTCCTTCATGTTTTCCGTAAGTCTACATTTTGCTGTACGTGCTTGTAATTTTTTAAAATCTTTGTGTACAATTTTTGCAGGTCTGGTTATAAAAGTCTAAATTTGGCAATTAGTTCCTTAGCTTATTTAAATAGAATTGCAGTGTAAAATTTTCAACAAGATGTTGGCGTAATAGCACTTTACTCTTTGTAGATATTTCCCCCGTCAAAGTTTGTCTAAAATTATCTTTCAATCTTTTCTCTTTCAAAGACAGTATAAAGTTATCTGACATATTTTCGTGCAGACTTAATGACAAGCCAAGTGTTTCCAGTTCATTCCGTACTCAATTTTAGCCAAGTAATTTTTTTTCTTGAGTAGATCTTTATAGCACGGTGTTATAAGCTTACACATTTGCAAAAGGTTTTGCGTTCAGACGCAGAACTTGCGTTTCAAGTTATAAAATGATAAATCTTTTAAATTAATTAATATTCCAGATAAAATAATTTTCAGAAACAAATCCTCAAAGCATAACGAATTAGGATTACGAACCATTTTATTACAGCAGTTCCCATTTTTTCTTTAATATAACGCTTTTTTTCCTGTTTTTCCTCAACACGTTTTCTTCCAAGGAAGTATAGCCTGGGCATACGCATGCTTCAATATACCCTGAGAGCAATTTATTTTATTAATGTTGGCGACCGTGTTTGAACTTAATTGTTTAAATATTGATATTTAACGTCATTTACAAATACCAATAAAATATAATAAACCCCATGAAATAAATGAGATATATTGAAAGCCTACCAAGACGAGTTTCATATCTGTTATTACCTGGCTTGGGAATTGCAGCGGTGCATAAAAGACAGGTGTTATTGTTAACGAGCTCTTGGTCAACTACAATGCATTTAAAAATGCATCAGCAATTAGTAAGCTTGCCAACTGATAACAGTCAATCTAAAAGACTATCAGCTTTTGATATGATCTAAAACACCTGAGGTGACCGAGATCGCGAGCATCGCAACTATTGTCACCGAAGTTAATAGTGGCCAGTCACAAATCAGTTGCGATGCGTCGGGGATGGGTAAAACCCGGGAAATTTGAACAAAATCTTGAGACAGATCTCACGATTTTGCACCCGTCGGAGGCGCTCTCCGGACGCCTGCGGGTTGTCGCAGATTTTTTAGACATCGCCACACCCGTCGCGGTTCCCAACTTTGAACTTAAAAATTTAAGATTGCTTGCAAGATTTTTCACCCATTTTGGGCATGCCAGACACAATCTCCGATGACCTACGATGCCCTCCGATTAATCGGAGGCGTCCTCCGAATAATCTGAGACTAGTCGCAAGATTCTGTGTGGGATTGGAAAATCAGGTTGAGATTCAATGTCTGCGAGTAGTCTCCGGCGCCCTCCGACTGAATCGGAGGCGCCCTGCGACGATTCGTACGCTTTATGTGATCGTCTCCGACGAATCGCACGGTGGAATCGTAGTAAATCGCCGTGTATATAAGGGCGCCTCCGACCGGATCGCTAAAAGTTTGAGACGCTCTTGCTGCAGGAGGCTGCCCACACGGAGCCTCTGGGGCGGAATCAGCGCCAGCTTCTCTGCAGAGTTGAAGTGACTGTTCTATGTACAACCAGATGAGGGATACCACGCTACAGTACAGTGTACAGAGAGAAATACAAATGACCGAGGTCAGAAAACCCTCCTTTTCCCCCACATATATCCAGGGGGAATAAATTACAAGAAAAGACGCTCGCATATATCGTCTCCGATCGCCTCCGATTTTTCGACAAAACCGGGTCAAAATCCTTGAAAAAATCTCAGACAATGTGACTGCTCCACTTTTATTAGGATTATTGCTAGGATTGTTCAAGGATTCTTTATTTTCTACGACGACCCCCGGCCAAAACTAATCCCCGACAGATCGCCAACATTGTGACTGGGCCATAAGTTAGTCACGGAAGACCGTCACAGACAAAGAAAGATAGTCAAGGAGTGCTGCAATTTTGGTGAATCCCACGGCAACACACTGAGGCATAAAGAAAACTGCTCAACTCCGTTCAACACAACTTTCCAAAATTATTCTGTCTGTTTGCACCATGCACCTCAGTTAAGTCTCATTGACCTTTATCCTGATTGTCGTCACAGTACCACGTGACCTGTTGCTTCTTTTATGCATATTGAGGTGAGGTTTACTAAAACGCTTTTTTACTACTAATAGATTGTTTTTATAATTTTTAAATAGCGGGGATCGATTAAAACATACCTGTAGTGTATAGATTAAGTGCTGAATCTTCAAAATTCGAGAAATGGATTTTTATATGACTATTGTCCTTTAATATGGAACTGCCTGACTACAATACTGATTGTGATGCAGGGGCTGAACATCATTCCAGATGCAAAGCTAGCTGCCAGGGTGACGGAAGTGACTGCACTTTGTAGATATTTCCCCCGTATAATGAAGCTTTTCGGTTATAAAAAATCACAACTACGGCAAACAAATTAAAACTCGGAGCTCTGTTCCACAAAAGTGCTAAGTCAGTTTTTTGGGATAACACTAAGATTAAGCTGACTAAAGTATTTTAAGCATAAAATGTAAGTTTTTTTTATGTAAATCAAGAACCAAGAGTGAAAAATTAGCTGCGCATTGAAACAACACGAGTAGGAGTACACCAGCCTTTATATAAGTAGAATAGTATTCTTTAAGTTAACATGTTCGGGTATATATTATGACAAATCGATTTTATCGTGATCAGTCAATTTATATCTCGAAGATTTTATGAATACAATTATGTACTTGTCTTACTCTTTAACAGTCGAAGTAATGGTCCTCCATAACACCGCATGACAATAAATTCACTGAATATCAACATACGTAATATCCCAAAATAACCCCATTGTTCGTCACAAATACTACAAGCGATCAATGGAGACCTAGATTCCTATATTGTAATATGACGAGCTCAATGTCAGAACTAGGAATTTTAGTGCAGCTATGGATTGGGCTGTCCTTGTAAAATGGTCTACTGTTCTAAATTCTTCCACTGTTGTAATTTCTGCTAACTCCTCCTAAACCACTGAAGTAAGGTAGCCCAGTCGATATAAACAGACCTATTACCAAATAGATGGATTTTTACATAAAGCATTTTTCAGGATACCTTTAAAATGTTATATTGACTCTTATTTGCAACCATTTTACATGTGAAACCAAAGGCATTGCCATAAATATCAAGGGAATGGTGTTTCTGAAGGTGAGCTACTCAATATGGGAAAGTGCGGGAATATCCCTTACGAAAAAGTCCTATAGGATCCTCTCAAAAATGGAATAGCATGTTCATTTCTAGGTTCATCTGTGGCCAGACCTTATGGACTACAACTCCTCAAAGCAAAAACGAGCATGTTTCAGTGGAAGGTATATTTATTATTGTGCATGACTTACAACACCTGATACAAGAAGACAACTGTTTTGTAGAAATCTTTTGTCTGTGATTTTAAGAAAAAAACCTGTAGCTGCATGTTAATTATATCCGGTACCAGGTAGGGTACCAGAATAACAGACAGCTTGCCTTCACTGCCTGGACCAGTGTTAGAGACATCGTAAACAAACACATATTTCACTGGTCATACTGGTACTTTCATATTTTCCTAAGCGTTATATTGATATACATTATCATAGTTAGAGAGGCCGTAAACAAATACATATTTCATTAGTCACACTAAGTTTCATACTTTCCTAAGTGTTATAATGATATACATTATCATAGTTAGAGAGGCCGTAAACAAAAACATATTTCATTAGTCACACTGGAAGTTTCATACTTTCCCTAGCGTTATATTGGTATACATTATCAGTGTTAGAGAGGCCGTAAACAAACATATTTCATTAGTCACAATGGAAGTTTCATTCTTTCCCTAGCGTTATATTGATATACATTATCAGTGTTAGAGAGGCCGTAAACAAACACATATTCCATTAATCCTCCTGGTATCTCATGTTTTCCTAAGCGTTATGTTGGTATCCATTACCATTGCAAGTAGTTGAGCTGTTTTAATGTACAGTTGAAATAAGTAAACCTATCTATGGTTCTCTGTAAATTACATTCGAAGGCTTAGGGTGAGTTTTATGTCTGTTAATATTGGATATTAACCCACCACTCCTCTCCTTACTCGAACCTAGGACTGAATCGAAGTCAACTTATATAAACTCTACACTTAGGAAAATATAATATTTGGATCAGATAAGGAACACATGTGCGACAAAGTTGCCGCAAACCGAACATGTTGCAATGGAAATTGCAGGTTTTTCTAACAAAATAAGAGTTGCAGGTTTATTAGTTCTTTGTGGGAAGTGTGACGTTTACTTGGTATTTGAAAGAAATTTACAAAAATTTTGAAGGTAACTAACAGTATGTGATAAATTAACGAAAAGCTTAGACATTGTCTAACAATTTTTGAGAAGTTCGCAAAAACCTAGGCATTAATCTTACAGGTTATGAAGAAAATACAAGAAACTTATAAGTTTACCTAGAGTTTGCGAATAGTTGGCAAGAAACATTGAAGTTTTGATAGCATGATTGTACCAGAAAGAGTACCGCGCATCAAATACAGCATAACAGTACAGCTTGCCTTCACTGTCTGGGTCAGATTTAGAGAAGTCGTAAACAAACACATTTTCCATTAGTCTTGCTGTAGTTTCATATTTTCCTAACTATTATACTGGTATCCATTACCATTTGAAGCAGTAGGCTGTATCAATGTACAGTTGAAATAAACTTATCTATGATTCTCCAAAATTACATAGAATGGCTAAAGATGCGTCTCTGTATGTTAATTTTGTACATTAATCCACTACTTATCACCTTACTCAGCACCTGACACTCGAACGGGGCTCTGAAAATGACATTTCGACCAACAACCTGGCGCTGGGCAAGACGGTTAATTGTACTTTTTGACTTAATCAGATGTTTCTAACCATGGGTTTGAATGTTTAGCCAACTGTGAATAGTACTGGACCAATATGTACCTCACAAGATTTCGGTCACACCCTGGCCTTCCTCATTGAATGTGATTATGAAATATATAGCTTCAGTATTGCACAGAAATTGAAAGTTTTAAAATATGATTGATATCAATAAATAACTGTCCTGAGTACCAGGGCAATGTAAAGCTAGCTTGCTCACTATACCTTTTCATGTGTTGGCTTAACAGTACCACTGAAGAATAGTGTCCTGCAGTGAATCTGCAGTTGAATGTAATAAGTTCAAAATGAGACGAAAACAGGTTTAATTTTGCATTATTTAATTTTATTCACTGTATTCACTGTTATATTCACTGTATCAAAAAAAGCATTTGTTCCTGAAGATATAAACACAATAGACGTGATTGTCGTGTGCCAAGTTTGAGAGCTGTAGCCGATACCACTATAAGGAGTGCACAATGGCTATACCAAAAAACAGTTTTTTAAAGCAGTGCTTGTGTTGTGGTACTGATTTCAGATTGTGAGGTATTCTTGGTTCAAACTTCAAACTCCGCGTCTTTGTCTTGATTGTCTCTTCTGCACGAGACGACGTCAGCTCAAGCCGGGAAAGGCAGCTCAAGGCGGGGCAGAGCTTTGACGCATGAGGCATGTGACTTCCAAATATGGAAGCGCCCCAGGTAAAATTTTGCTGTACACGCCCCCAGGATGCCTGTGGTCGCTGGTGTCGGTATTGCTGATGTTAGTTATATATGAAATAAAGATCGAGCTGAAATCTAGAACCTTGGTTTTAAACAACATGTGTATGGAGTTTCATTAGAATGATTAATAACTGTGGAACCGAATCAAAATAAATAAGTATATGTAAAATATTTTCCTAGGGAAAATCCAAAGTTTGCATCAGACAAGTAACACATTTCTATCAGAATATTAGCGGGTCGTGATACAGAAGAGCGGGGTGGATTAGTATTAGTGTCCCTGCAACTTGGAGGCGTAAAGGACCATGTGGTAAAGGGGGAACCAATAAACAGAATTATTCAAATGTGAACTACTGTCATTGGTTGGTTGTGTCAAGTACCGGTTTATGATGAGGGACGGCTTGACACGTACCGGTAGTCTATTTAGTGAAACAGACTTGTTCGAGAAGTCTCATTATCCAAGTTGACTTCAGTTAGTGAAAACGAGGTAGGTTTTGTCTTATCGAAAACAATATTTTATCAGTGCTACTCTCACTTTTAATTTATGGTGGAATTGGCGTTTTATACAATGTACCTAAGTGTGAGACATTGGGGTCATACTTATTATGTTTTCTATGCAACCATTTGTAGGTACTTGGGTACATGATAAAGTAGTTATTTTCACATTTTGATTGTGAAAAGGCAGCAATGGAAAATGAAACACAGGCGAATAGAACAGACTAGATTAAATAAAACAATACAAATATTAAACAAAATCACTTAGGTCACTTGATGTAAAATTTAAAAAACATCAAATTAACCAGGACAATAACAGCAATCATTGATTATTTCATTTGTTCAGCTTAATTTTCAGCATAGAGCTTGATCCTTAATTTGCTTTTCTTTCTTATATTTATATATATTTCATAAGTTAAGGTGAATTGCCAAGTAAATTCAGTTTATAAAACAATTATAAAGTTGAAAAGAAAAAGGAGAGCGAGAGTTTAGATTTAAGTATCAGAACATCCATGTGTGAGAGACGAGACTCAAGCAACTGGATGCACATACCAACATCCTGTTCACCTTTATCAAACATTCCTCATGGCTGAAATCCTGTTTTGTTTTAGCATAAAAATACAGACCACTAAATCTGCTAAGGAGCGATGATTTTATTGATCTTCTCCAGCCTTGTTGTGGGGTTGATGGCCATTGGCAATTACACTTATGAGCCCGATGTAACTTACTGTAAGTCAAGTTGAGAGTACTTTTACCTCCTTTTTTCTTTAGGGGCTGGAAATGAGATTGACAAGTTGTAGAGCATCAAGTAAACTTATTAATATGTGTCCGCTGTGGATAATAATTTTGAATTAATAAACACAAATACCTGTGTAATTTAAGCACAAATCATGGGTTGTGTTATCATAAAAATAATAACAAATCAAGGATTAATTATCAATCCAAGATACATTTCAGTAATTTGAGCTATGCAAACTGATAGAGAATGCCCATGCATGAGAATTACCTGTGCATTTATTTTCAGTTGGGTGCGGTCCCAACCCCTGCGCAAATAATGCGACATGCATAGAGGGTGAAGATGCAAATCCAACTTACTATTACAAGTGCAATTGTACCGAAGGTTATTACGGATACAAGTGCACCATCGGTAAGTCGTCGTTCAAGTCCGCATATCTGAAAACTGCTTTTAGACTGGCTTTATACCAACTTATAATTCTACATTGTTTTACAGAAAACAAAAAATCAGACCAAAAAATAAGGAAATGATCAAAATAAGGAAATTATTTGAGCATCCTTTTTATCTAAAGCAAACCGGTAAGCAGTCTTTTTGGCAGACAAAGAAAATCCCAATATGCACCTCTGTATGCAAATAGACACCACAATGATGAATATACACGCACTGTATATAGTTGGGTGAGCATCGCTATGATTGTTTATACTCTTTTAAAATTTCGCGGCCATTTTGGGTAATGAAAAGTGCTCAATGTCCCAGAAATTAGTAAAATCTAAGTTGACTTTTCTGACCTAAAAGACTATATTTTTTTCAAAAAATTACAAAAATAACATGGTATTGTTTATCTTTCGGACCCATGGGAGTGACAACTTGAAGGGCTTACGCCCTCACCTAATGTCAAGCAACAGGTTATTGGTAGTTCAAGACAATGGCTAACAAAAGATCACAATGAAAAGAAAAATTACACATGCTTTTAGTTAGACTAATTAAACGAGAAATATGATAATTTCACTGTAATTCTTCTTATTATTATCATTATCAAATTCGCAACCCGAGGGTTGGATGAATACATTCTTTGCATCATAGTTGAATAAAACCACCAGTAAATAGGAATAAAAGAATATGAAAATAATTGTTTTGACGGCCATTCTGTTTTTTCAATAACAGAAATGAATTAGTATATACTTAGCTATCTTATTGTGTTCTTCCGACAAAAAGTACATTTACACGAGCCACAAATAAAGTATATCCGTCGAATTCTGGTTGTTTTTCTATTTTCCCTCAAAAATTGACGGTCATATTGAAAATATGAAATTAACAACCAAGCTAATTTTACTTTTCTAACCCAAAAGCATACATTTCGGTATTAAAAGTTTGCCGAGTTTGACTATTGGATCTTTTGGAGTGGGTGGATTTTCGTCATTTTGTATTGTGCAATACCACCACTGATGTCATCAGTGAGTGTCTTAAATTTATTCATGCTATTATAATTAACGTCGGTAGTGCTCGTTTTTGTGAAATTTGGTTAAACATAAAAGTGATGAGTCAGCAAACATGTACATAATAAAGCTGTTCGTTATATTTCCACAAATATATCTCTGGTTATCATTCATGAAACGATTCTCTGCAACAGAAAGCATTATTTATTGCATCTGTATGCGCCAGCACAAACAGGCGAAAATATACATTAACTGTAAATATAGATTTGTAGGAAGCAGGTGACAGTAGGTAACAGTACAAAACACTAAGCTATAATATGATATATCAACTTCATGGTATGGAATTGCATTTATTAACTTTCTTTTGAGAAAAAAAAGTTAGGATAATAATAGTGGTAAAATTGACTGGATGAGGTGCAGTTTAGGGAAACATTCTTTTATCAGAGGATTCTTGCATAAACATGACCAGTGCAAAGAAAGTGCCGTCCCTTTCACATTTTATGAGCTTAGTCAAGTTTTTTTTTGTATAGCAACAAATATTAATCAAAGGGTCTGTTTTTCCTACTATTCGATGTGGCTTACTTACCTCGAACATACAGGTGGGAACTCTATCGTCTGTTGGGTTGCAGATTATTTTTTCACTAGGTATTCACAGTCATGTCTCTGATTTACCATGTGTAATTGTGTGTATATCGGTTTATGCTAGCGCATGAAATACAATAAATATTATATTCTGTTATTCCCAGCTGATGTTCTGCATTTAGTATCAGATAAAGCTCTAGCATTGTGGTCGTTTTAAATAAACATATTATCTGATATCAGTTTTTTTTTTATTTTTTTAATCAATATCATAACTAACATATTTGATGTGATTACCCCTGTAAGCCAGCCATATGATAACCCCGGTTTAAGTATGAGTTAGAAGTCTGCCTGACGCCAATTTACACCTTTTTTTACTTCTTTACAGTTGAATGTGGGAAAAATGCCGTGTGCTTTAATGCTACTAGTGGTTTACCCGTGATTGAGAGAAATGATGTATGCGATGAAGATATTGGCCTTCACTGCAAATGCATAGATGGATTCGTAGGCGACGGGTTTACATGCACCAGTAAGTTTCATGAAGGCCTCAGGTTGCTGAAAATTCAGACGTCTGGTATAAAAATCAGGGAAGATCAGGACCCGGTCTGACAGGAATGGTAGCCCTAAGAATGGAAGTTTGGGGTCCCATATGATTAGCACACGTTAAGGATATTGTGACCCTTTATTATCATCCAGACACCGAAACTGAGTTTTTCCTGCATCTAATTATTTAATAATGCATCTACCTTTGCCACTGAACACTGAAGGTGTATTCATTACCCAAAATATGTTTGTAAGGCAGAAAATAAGGAGTTTTGGGCGAAGGGTGACAGAGGGTTAGAATGAGAGGAATGCCACCATTACAAAATAATGGTGGATGGTCTACGGTTCCTAGCGGACTACCACTCCTGTCACTCCGGTTCCACAAAACTACCATAGTAAGTTTTATTGGCAAAAAGTTTTAGACCACCCAAGTTAAGACCGACCAACTAATGTTGCGTTAAACATGGTCCAGTGTTCCAGTCTTAACGTCGAGTGGTCCTTAGTTACCTCCTCCTCACGCCCCCCCCCCCCCCCAAGAGAATATACAGGTATAATAACTGAATGACAAAAGCCAAAATCTTGTGCTATATATATATATACAGCTTTCAAGTATTTTATCCACGGATCTGATAGTCCGCAGATCATCTTTGGTTGTGCATGTCGTCATAGATATCAAGGGAATGGGTTCCCTGAGGGTGACCTACTCTTTACAAACTTCTATTTACAGTGTACCCATCGAACCCCTAATATTATTATTATTATTATTATTATTATTATTATTTTACGTGGAAAGCATAGTCAAGGCGTGTGCTTTTATGTACTGAATGCACTAAAAAGAGCTCGAGTTAAAAGTGTGGACATAAAACATACTGCATTTTTATTTCTTACAGATAAGACGAAATGAAGTTCTCCAAAAGGAAATTATCAAAGAACAGCACAGATGGAAGCACAATTAATTTCGTTGGACATGAATTTTAAAATATCTGAGATTAGTGTGTCAATCCAATCATTATAATTGAAAATAAAACATTTTGGCATTGCATGTAGTGTATTTCAGTGTTTATTTATCACAACATCTTATGCCACTTGTATGGTCTTTATTATGCACATGTTGTCAGCTTGGTTTCTTTTCATTTTATTATGAAGAAAATCTGATCAACAACAGCAGTTATTTAATTTTCGTATATGTGAATATTTAAGACATGATATATGCGTGAAAGTTATGGAAATTCACAGATTTTAAACCCTTTATTCACATCCTTTATTTATCTTACAGATACAATTGATATCTGGTTTATATATTTCCATATTTCATTGATTCAACAAGCATTACATGAAACTTATGATCCTGCCGTATCTTTTCCTTTATCATGTGACATGCTTAGCACATGCATAATTTTACAAATAAATTTTTAAAAAATCGAATAAAGAATACAAAACCTTTAATACAGAATAAAAGGCAGCTTGGATTCAATATATGGCGCAATTAAATTAACACACTTCATAGACAAACACTTTTTCCATTAGTCTTACAATTAATTTCATATATTCCAAAAAAAGTCATGCTGGCATCCATTATCACGTCAAGCCAGTGAGTGGTATCAATGTAGTGATGGAATAAGGGAATTGATTGAAATGGCCAAAAGCAGGCGTGAAGGTTCAAGAGAAATGTCCTGTACTGTTCGTTTTTGATATTTTAATATATATTTTATTTAAATTAACCCACCGTAATTTATACCTCACAGCTGTTCGCACATACAGCCGCACGCGCGTGCGCAGGAATACAGAGAATGGTCTGAGAGGGAGCACTTAAATATGCAGGTGCAGCCAATGTGCCTGCAACACAGTCAACTCTACGAAGATGTTTAAAGTAGAGCTGTAGATGTGTTCTTGAAGCTGAATAAACCATACACGTTTCACCCCAAAGATAAAAAATAAATATATATATTTTTTTTAATTGACGGATGGTAAAAATAAACAGAAATAGTATAATGTGCACAACTGTGATTTGGTGGCTTGTCTTAATTGTGCCACGTTTAACGCGAAAAGTGTGACACGTACTGACAATGCACTAAAGGCATATCATGTGGATCAGACCTTTATATAGCAAAAAAACAACAACAATGATAATAATAATAATAATAATTATAATAAATCTTAATTATCTTATAATGAGATTAAAAAAAAGTTCAGTCATGATACCTTGTAGATCCACACATTTGACTGTCAGCTGTTTCGTTTGTTCACTCTGTTAGACTTGGTCAAAACTGAAGTACCTGTTCAGGTGAAGATAAACAGGGTGGGTTTCATAATATCATTATAAACATGGAACGGCGTCACAGCTATCGCATCGGTTCTCATATATAAATATATTCCCATAGTAAAAAGTGTCATCCCTAACGCAATTATGGTACAATTGTGTCAGCACCAGAAGTCGATCGCAAGCCATGTTGTCGAGATGAAGGTTACGAGTTCTCTATGACAGTAAGATTAATGATGGCAGGACAGTGAAGATAAATACTATTCGCAATCGAATGAATTTCATATAAAGTAAGGCATCATCATGTGTTTTTTCAAATATATATATATATATATATATATATATATATATATATATATATATATATATATATATATATATATTCTTTTCCCTCGGTTTTGCCATTTTGCTTATTAAGGATATGAATATTTAAGGCTGAAATAAAGAAAGCACCGCCCTAACTGTCTGAAAATGAAAGTTTTTAATTAATACGTAAATACGTATTGCCACCTACTTACATGTTGCAGAGACGAGTCCATGTAACAAAAGCTAGCAGAGAGAAAGACGAAAAGAAATATGTTGAATACGAAACCAAGATTTAGAAATGTCATTAAGTGTATGAGAGAACAGACCAAGGTGAAGGATGTGCTGATACCAGTCAAAGAAATGGAATGGAAATGGATTGGACTTGTCAGTAAAATTAGGGATGACAGTCAGACTGACAGAATGGACACCAACTCGTGGTGATACGAAACCAGGAGATGAAGAGATGAGTTGGACGAGTACCGAAATAAAAGTCATGTTCTAACTTCAAATAACAGTATTTGTGTTGAACCTTCGATGTATCTCTGGCTAAGATGTATATCTGGCTACGATCGACCTGTTCCTAAGCAAGAGACTTTCTCATTTTGTCCAATAGTATTCTGGACCTCTCTCTTTCATACAGTCCAGATTAGTATCCCAGCATTGCCCTATGGGATACAAATCAAGAGATAAAACATGTCAGGAAGCTCACTTGCTCAACTACTTCTAAACATAAATGGTTGTGTTAGCTTGGCACGGTAAGGTTGGGCATCACATGGAAATATAATGGTCATTATGGGCTGTAGTACAGTTAGGGGACCATCTGCATCCTCACGATTTCCTTCAGAACCCCTTGGTTGGTTTGACACAATAGTGAAAGGCAAGTCACAAATGTGCTGAACCACCGCCGCGACCAATTCTTTTTACCACACAGTTTCCAGAAAATGTGAACAAATATCATGTTGAACACAGACTTAGCCATCAAAACAACAAAGAAGGAATCTCAATTTATTTTTTTTAAAAACTTACATGGCACCAATGAAGCAACGAATTGTAAAAAAGTTGACAGGCCCAATTTAAGTGTGGTTCATTCTTTATTGGAATGTAAGAGGTTTCTTGTGTGATGTGCTTTACCCTAGGCCATCACTGAGAAGACTGCAGTTTACTGTTCCTAAGGGAAACCAGGTTTGGCAGGTCATTGTCACTTTATATAGAATTTGCTGACAATGCCCTGTCTTAATTATATATCTGGGACATGTAGAGGGTATGATCCTCCATGGCGCTGTATCAATGTCATTAAATGTGTATGTAGTTCGTCAAAATGTAATTTCAACTTCACTTCGTTTTTCTCCTTTGTTTGCGTTCATTTATATACGCTCTGCTGTTTTCGAAAACGGCTTACGAGCGCACAATGCGTACACTGTGCACGCAGATTTTACCACTTATACTATCAGCGCTCCCAGTGCCTATAACCAGAACAAACCAGTGTGGCCATTGCATCATTCGACGTTCCGTCAGTGCAAAATCTCCGAAAGTTTAACGTCACATTTTCCTCGGTTGACATGTCTTTGTTCTCTCTTTTATAATTATATTTTACAATTTCTTAATTCTTGCAAATTTGCAGTAAATTTGTGATGAATTTGCGAGAGAACTTACGGCAAGCAGGGAAACAAATGTGTGACTATGTTTCAACTGTAAACCTGTTGAAATGTCCCTTAACCCCATAGAGCCCGTCACCGCATATGTGCGGTTCAATTATCGCTTACCCCAAAAGCCCAGAACCGCATATGTGCGTATCTTGGAAAGATCGGCTTTTGTACTCTTTTGTATCGTGAGTCATGAAATGATATATAGTTTCACATCCAGGTTTCTTGTCTCTCATTGCCACCATTTTTAAAGGCAAAAGAAATATATTTGAGCAAGAAAACGGTGATTTTCAAGACTTAATTGGAGAAAGTAAAATCAAGATGGCGGCTCCTCGCTACGGTAGGGACCTGCGAAGGGATACTGTTATTGAAATGATTGAAAACCCGGACTTTGATGAGAAGTTTTCGTGTGACAGTGACATAGACAGTGACGATGATATTCATTTATTTATGATATAAAGGACGATAGAAATATTTATGACCGAGAAATCGGCGGTTTTCTAGACTTAGCTGGAGAAAGTAAAATCAAAATGGCGACTTCTCACTACGGAACGGGCCTGCGAATGGATACTGTTATTGAAATGATTAGAAACTATGACACTGACAAGGTGTTTTCGAGTGACAGTGATATAGACAGTGGCGATGATATTCATTTATTTATGATATAAGTTTTGTAGATGTTTTTGTCATAGATGGTGTTAAAATTTGACTTCTATTCAGCTGTTGCCACGATGTTCAGGTGAGCTGAAAAGCTGGCTCAAGTATACCTGATAGCAAACGAGCATAACTTGGAAATTAATGGAGGTAACTTGCTGAAATTTTCTGGATTGAAAGTTACTATAATTGGCATCATCTCTGTGAATTTTCAGGCAAATGTATGAAGAAATAAAAAATTATTGTGCATAAGATAAATCAACTTTGTTTCATTTCGCCCATTACCAAATGAAAATGTTGTTTTTAACCGGTCATAACTCTTGATACTGCATGTTGAATTTAAATGTAGTTATATTTTCATTTAGCTTGAAATATTAGCTTTTTAAAAATGTATACTTTGTATGGGTGATAAAGGCAAACAAATAAATTATGGCCAATTTACTGAGGTGACCCGGCTTTTCAAGGCTAGCTCACAGAATTAATTGGGCAGAGCAGAACTTTATGGGTCAGCATTAACCGGATCCTATGGGGTTAAGCCAAATAAACCACACTCGTTTCACTCTGAAAGAAAAATATGACAGAGAACCCCAAAAATGACCTAAGGTAACAGAGGATAAATACAAACAGAAATATTTGACTGCGCACAGTTGTGGATCGGCGTTAACCACACTAGTTGTGCCAAATTGTCGTAATCGTCGTCACTGAAAAACAAAACTATTTCTCATTTTAGAACAATTTATTCTTTCCAACCAAAAGGAATGCCTATATTGGCGGTAATAAGACTTATTTCACCATCACTTTTTTGGCAGGGCCCGGTTTGATTTCTGAGTTGTACTCACGCTCTCCTAGCTTTCCAATGATAATAACGGTCAAGGTCATAAGAGAATATGTGTATTTATAAATTTGACTGCTCTCACTGACTGTCCGACTCACCACAGAGTCCCAGTCTAATTCTTTAAATTATGGGATATTGGTAACTTGCAATACCTAATAACTGCATTACAAGAAGACATTATGAAGTTGAACTGTTTTCTAGAATTTTTTTGTTTGTGATTTTGAGAAAACTACATGTGGATGCATGTTGTTCCCGGGACCAGGACAGGAACCAATATAACAGACAACTTGCCTTCAATGTCTGGACCAGTGTTAGAGACATCGTAAACAAAC